ATATATATATATATATATATATATATATATATATATATATATATATATATATATATATATATATATATATATATATATATATATATATATATATATATATATATATCCATCCCTAACGCATTCATTTATTGCAATGGAAAGAAGAATGGATTACTTTAATGCTTTTAGCTAGTCAGGACTTTATGAGCAGGGAAGTCTGGGAAAAAAAGTTGTTTTAAGTTCTCTCATTAAATTATCCTATTTCTTTACCCCTAGCTTCCTGAAAATACTTAGTTTTCGCATCTCAGTTTTGGTCTCACCCAACCTGTGTAGGATCTGTACTATTCTAGTCTCTGTGAGGAGTCCTAGGTCTGTTTTCAGGGGCGGGGAGGGGGCAGAATGCAACTCCATTTTAAATTTAATCTGCTGACCTCAAGGGGCACGACCATCGACCCACAGCTTCGGGTTTGCTCTGTGACTTTAGGAGAGAAGCCTCACAAATGCCAACTCTGCGACTTCACTTGCCGAGATGTGAGCTACCTTTCCAAGCACATGCTGACCCACTCTGACGACAAGAACTACATGTGCACAGAATGTGGCTATGTGACAAAGTGGAAGCACTACTTGAATGTTCACATGCGGAAGCACACGGGCGATCTCAGGTACTTGGCAGCCTCCTCCTCACCACTTAAGCTTATTTTCTAAGTATATTTATTTGATATTTATTTATTTGTTATGTATATGTACGGGTGTGGGTCTATACCAGTGTTTCTCAACCTTGACAACTTTAAGATGGGTGGACTTCAACTCCCAGAATTCCCCAGCCAGCATTTGCTGGCTGGGGAATTCTGGGAGTTGAAGTCCACCCATCTTAAAATTGTCAAGGTTGAGAAACACTGGTCTATACACATGTTGTACATAGTATGTTTTAGGTGTGCGTCATGTGTGTGTTTCACTTTGAGAGCGGGCAACTAAATTTCATTTTTGATGTGTGCCGTTGTGCCCACAGTAAAAAAAAACGACAATAAAGGTTATCCTGTCTTATCTATCTTATAAATAAAAGCTAGAATTGATTGGACACCATATCTGTAGGGTGAAATAATCTCCAGCTCCAAAGTCCCAGCATGGGTATGGTTTAAAACTGGAAATAGTGCAATTACAAAATATCAAATCATGCAAAAATCAAAAACGGAGCAAGATTTCTGATTAAGATAAATTGAACTATTGCGTGAATTGGATGCTTGCTCCGGTGTCTGGATGGTAACCTGTATATTTCAACCCATTAGTATCTGGGAGTACTTGCCTGTGATAAAAGTGATAAAAAATATTAGCAGCATTTGAGGGAGAACAGTTTGGTTTGGTTTGGTTGTGGTTTTCTTGTTTGATTTATATTCTTTCTTTTCTGCAGTAACTATTTATCTTGGGTAGTTCAGATTAGGGCGAAGTCTATTGCATTCCTGCCTTACAGTATTAATAAGAATAAATTCACCTCTTATGATTGGAAGTGCAAGGGGAAAAAAAATCTAATTTCAACCTGGTGCTATTTAAAAAACCTTGGAGAAAGCTGTTCTGAGTTTTTACTTTCAAGCTAAGGCAGTGTTTCTCAACCTTGACAATTTTAAGGCATGTGGACTTCAACTCCCAGAATTCCACAGCCAGCATTGCTGGCTGTGGAATTCTGGGAGTTGAAGTCCACATGCCTTAAAATTGTCAAGGTTGAGAAACACTGAGCTAAGGGAAGCTGTACATTTCTAGTCGCTGAACTGAACTTGGTTAAAAACCACAACGAGAGGTAGGAGCTTTAGGGCGGGGCAGCCCCTTTTTCAAATCCCAGCTCCTCTGTGAAACGGTTCCGCGAACCCCGATAAGCCATTTTCTTCTGCCTGTTTCCCAGTTTCCAAATAAAGAGCTAAAATCATTAGCTTTTAAGTTTTGTGAGTGGTAGTGATTGTAACTGCTGTAAAGCAAAGTAGTTTTTGCTTATCGCCTGTGGAAGGCTATGCTGGCTGGGAATTTGGAGAATTGTCTGTCCCAACATTTCTGGAGAACCATCAGATTTGGGTGTTATGGTTCCGGCTAATGAAACACTTCAAAGAACTTCCAGGCATTGATTTTCCTAAAAGTCATTTATTGTTACAAAATGTCGGCACAGGCATAACGAATGTTGATGCTAAGATCTGAAATCCTCTTCCTCTGAGCAGTTAAATTATCAGCATGTTCCCTCCCTAAATGAGCTGTCATATACCACTGTTATCCAATTAGTGTGAAGGTCAAAGGTTTCCTTCCTCTTTCTTTCCCCGGGCTTTCCTCCCCCCACCCTCTTCTGCTCTGCATTAACCCTAAAAATACCAGTCAGTTCTGCATATTGTCAAAGCAAGAATATACCGTATTTGCAGCGTTGACATCGGGAAGGTTGACTGTGCTGATGTTTTGTCTCAACCTCTGATTCACTCTTGTTCTTATACCAGGTACCAATGTAACCAGTGTCCCTATCGTTGCCATCGGGCTGATCAACTGAGCAGCCACAAGTTGCGCCATCAGGGCAAGTCTTTGATTTGTGAGATCTGTGGCTTTGCTTGCAAGCGCAAATACGAGCTGCAGAAGCACATGAAGTCCAAACACTCCCAGGATTATCAGAT